AAATTTTCTGAAAATTTTCTAAAATAAAAATCCGGAATATTTTCGGAATATAATAATAATATTTTTTTTATAGGGTATATAACAGATGAAAAATTATTTTTTAAATAATTTACGACCTAATTATGACTTATTATGTAAATATGTCTGCACCTCTAGTTACGGCACTAACATATTTACATCTATAATACCAATTCAACTCATTGAATATACTTCAGTGCTTGGGAAGTAAAATTCGAAACTTACTTCGCATAACAGTTTTCTTTATGCCTTGCTTGGGCAATTACGATTCATAAGCCCCAAAGGCTTAATACTGATCATACATTTGCAGGTGTATCACTTTTTTCGATCGTGCTTTTTCTTTTAACAGATTACAAAAATTAGGGGGAAAAGCCTGTTTACAACAAAGAATAATGGAATAACATAGATTTTTTTTATGAATTTATCATAAAGCCATTCAAAGTTGAATAGCTATTTACCGTTCATCCTCTCCTAGGTAAGCTGTCCTCAGAAATTAAATAGACCAATCACAACACAGGAAAATTTTAATAATGAGATTTAATCAAATATTCTGTGAAATATATGTTTTTTAAATTTTACATTCCCTTGAGCCAGAGCTCAAAATATTGATGTTAAACTACTAAATGTAATAAATAATAATAATCTATAAAATTCAAATACTATTTTAGTCTAATTTTAAAGCGTAAGATCTAATAATAAGGGGGTCCAAGCATACAAAACGTTGCTACCTTTGAAAATGAAAGTAGTGAAAATATAAAACTCTTGGATGTTTCACACCCATAATCATTATTATAAACATTAGATAGTAATCTATTTCTATCGTTTGTTAATTCTACGTTACTACGCCAATCCAACGGATTATATCCGCCAATTATTTCCTCTGAATTTAGGACTTTAATTATAACCACAGTTGGTCCCTTATTATCGCATTTCTCATGAAACTTACTAATACTAAAATTTTCTTGGCTTGCACGATAAATAAGATCGAATTTAAAAGGTATATCCTTAAAACGATAAGGCGTTTCTTGTTTGTTATCAATCCAACTCGCTATTAATGCCGCGTCTTTAGCGTTAATAATTTCTGAATCAAAAGGATATGCAGATACTCTTTTTTGTAAAAGATCGTGCCTAGGATCTAAGTTAGGGAAAACCTCATCAGAAAGATCTGGAAGAATGTCTTTATATCGAGTCATAATTGAGCGATGCTCACAAAGTGACATTTGGAAAAATCTAATGTGAGGAATACAATTATGTATAGTTTTTTCAAGGTCCACAAAATCTGTTTGATTCCATTTAGCCAAATCGTCAGTTAAAATAGAATCAGTATTCTTGATTCCCCATTTAATTAAATATTCCCAAATTTCAATTTCATCTAGTCGAAGGTCATCACTTCTCAACAAAAGGATTAGATGGTTTCATCCATTTTTAAGAATTCTTCTGATTCAAACACAATTTTGGGATTTTTACACACAAGATCAAATGCAACATTATATAAATCTGTATCATTATGTTGGCATAATGTAATAAAATCTTTCTGAAATTTCCACGCCGATTCAGTTTCAAGCAGACGTTTCTTAAGTTGTTTACAAAGTTCAAATAATTCAATCTCATCAGCAGAAATAAAAATCAACAAGGCTAAAATTATTTCCAATAGAAAATATTCCTGTATAAATATAACTATTCATTTTATGGAAAATAAATCACGATTTTAGATTCGTGTCTAAGTTTTTTGCTAATATAATATATACATATATATATGTTATAAATAAATAAAACTTACGTTATAAGAACTTCAAATACCATTGACGAAATATTAGGCTTATTGAAAATGATTATTCCATTTTCTCTCTTTGCCCACCGGGATGATAATGCATTTTTAAAGTAAGCAGACCTTGACGATAAGATAACTGAATGTGCTTTAAATTCCTTAATATTTGGTTCTTCACCAACTATAACTTTTGTATCAAAACCTTCAGAACTTTTAAGCAAATTTAACAAACTATTACTTAAATGATTTTGATTAAGGTCGTTATCCATGTTTACAAAATACGTATGTATTGGTATTGAAAAATCAAAATTTGAATGATAAGTTGTTTAATGTGAACATATCCCAATTGCTTTTTAGCCTAATTATATACGAAAATTTATTTGACTAAATTTTTGATTGGGCTATTGTTCCCTTTCTCGTTTTTTGTCAATATAAATTGACTATTTTTTTTTGTCCATTGCTCCCTTTATCGTTTTGTTGTCAAATGAAAATATGGAAATAAAAGGAAATGATTGTAATCTAGATCTACATTGTTTTGTGCTCCGTTTTATATTCTGAACGGATATCGTATTTATCGTTATGTAAAAAGGATTGTTTGCCTAAAGGTGCAGGTAGAACGAATTTTCTAGTACTGTTAGATTAACTTGATGACTTGAGGAAGTATTGCTATTTTGAGTTGATATATCAGTGGGATGATGCTGATTCAAAGCTTCGTTTGGACTTATTGTATCAGACAAATAAAGCGAGATGAAGTAGTAACATCGAGTAAATTAACAGGTACGGCTGGATTATCTTCGCACTTGCTTACTATTTTGAGTTGATTATCACTCTGATTAGATTATATCAATAGGTTCAATATTATATATATTTTGTATATTAGAATGAAGTTATTTTAGATTTAAAATTTGCTTAGGTTAACCCAAGTTGATACGAAATTTAAAAGCAACTTAAATTGTTTCTAAATTTGATACTAACATTATAATATTTAAAAGCAACTTAAATTGTTTCTAAATTTGATACTAACATTATAATATTTAAATGCAAATGTATAATTATTTTTATTCTTTACAACTCTTTCTATCTAATGTCGAATCCGTAATATATTTGATGAATTTCCAATA